GAAAATACTTTAAATTTGAAACAAAGAAGGAAAAAGAAAATATAAGGAAGATTAGAAATATATAAATATATAATTTGTGAATTTTACCTGGCCTGGCATGACTTCACCGTTGATCCCACTAATGTTGATGCCTGCGTATAGGCAGGCCTTGTAATGCGAGTCAACAATGTCACGCCCAAAGGCTTTGTCAGCACCAGCAGCACAATAGTATGGCCCCTGTTGAGCAATAAACGACATTTTAAAGTTGTGTTCTTGTAACAATGTGAAAAAATAAAATAAGAAAAAGCAAGCATAATTAACATCACATAAGAATGTACGTCCAAAGAATTCTTAAAGTTATCAAGTTTGTGCCAGCATCAGGTGACAATGACATGTAAGTATTCGGAAAACTCATGAGCATAAAATATAACAATGAATCTAAAGCCGTAGAAAGAAAGCAACATCCATTTACCTGAGGTCCCGGATAACCACCAACAGGCCACCCAAGCGGCCACTTGACATCTTTCTGCAACAAGGTGTATTCCTGTTCAATGCCGTACCTGTTTTCCAGATTACAGTGCACAAAGTTCAAATACAGAAAATACATGAATAAGCAACAAAGACGTGTATGTATATAAATCATACTAACCATGTGTAATGGAAGACCAAGTTATATATATATAAATAAAAACAGTAGCATGAGAAAAAGGATACCAGGGTACTTCAGCAACAACATCAGGATGGCTGAATATCTTTGCAGCAGCAGCCCTCTTGTTTGTTGGAATCGGTACTCCGGCGGGAGTGTAAGCATCGCATATTACCTAATTTAGATCATCATTGAGAAACACAGATGATTTTAGAAAGAGAAATAATAAATAGATCACATCAGACCATATCTCCAATGAATTGAAAAGGAAGAAGAAAATAATAGAAGATCAAGATAACTCACCAAAATATTGTTGCCTCTTCTAAATGGATCCTTGAAAATGGCTTGAGGGCTGTTTCATTTCATGAGAAAGAAGAAGAAATATAATAAATACCCATAACCCAGATTAAAAAATAAAACAGAAAACTATTAGAAGCAGATCCTTACAAGCAGTAAGAAAAATTAGAAGAGCTTACTATAAAATGACTTCGCTATCTTCTCCAGGGGCTTGACCAGTGCTGGAACCATCATAATTCCACTTGGGAAGCTTTGAAGGGTCACTAACGGGTCCTGGCAGAGTCTTCATACACCCAAAAAAATATATATATATTACCATTTGAATTAATTAACCAAACAAGATCACACCAGTAGAAAATAAACAAGAAAATTAATTACCCTTGCTTTGCTTCTGAGGTCCATACCAGATCCACCAATCCTGTTACAGTAATTAAAAGTTAAAAAAAAATTGGAATGAAATTAAAAAGAAAAATAAACATTGAACAATATATTCAAGTTATAGAAATCCCAAGTAACAGCATAATTAAGCTGAGAAGAATTAACAAAACAGAGAATACCAATCATTAATCAATGCTCAACAACCAAAACAAGAAAGAT